CGATATTGCAATTTTGTCGTCATAAGTATGCATAATTTGATCTGTTCATATATTAGGTGTACAAAAAGTTCTGAGCTTTTTTTGTAAAATTCAATCTTTATTCAAAAACAAACAAAAAAATATTAATCAGCGAAATATTCTCCGTTTGCATCAATGATCTTTTGACATCTTTCGGGTAGCTTGCGAATTCCTTGACGATAGAAGCTCACCGGCTTCGAAGCGATAAAGTCATCAATGCATTTTCGTATCTCTTCAAATTTCACGAAATGTGTATCAGCCAAATGATGCTGTAGCGACCGGAATAGATAGTAATCGGAAGGCGCCATGTCTGGGCTATACGTCGCGTGCGAGAGAAGTTCCCAGCCTAACGCAAAGATATGGTCCTGAGTCGCTTTCGCAACATGTGGTCGAGCATTTCATGAAGCAAGATCACTTTACGACATCCTTGGCCAGTAAATGGCCTCTTTTTTTCTAATGCATCGCTCAAATTGGTCAATTGTTGTTGGTAACGGTGTGTCGTGATTGTTTTACCCGTTGTAACAACTCGTAATACAACACACCTTTCCAGTTCCACCAGATACAGAGCAAAACCTTCTTGGCGTGGATATTGGGCTTTGGCGTCGATATCGAAGGTTGACCAGAGTCAACCCATGATTTTCTATGTTTAGGATTATCATAAAGAATCCACTTTTCATCGCCTGTAATGATTTTGTGCAGAAAATCTTTTTTCCGGAACTTTGAAAGCAAAGTGAGTGCAGTGTCGCCGACGATTTTTGTTGTCTTCGGACAATTCATGCGGAACCCATGTCTTCCCCTCTGTCTTCCTTCTGAACCTTTCCCATCGTATGTAAACGTACGGAAATGGTTTGCTGCGTAACGCCAAGCTGTTCTGCAAGCTCCTTTTCAGTTTGCGCAGAGTTTATATCCAGCAGTGCTTGCAAATTCGTCCGTTTCAATCTTTTGAGGGCGTCCAGCACGCGGTTCATCTTCATCTTCATCTTCAAGACTGAAATCTCTTTGATACGATCGAAATTTTT